TTTTTACGACACAGTTATTCAGCATTTGAATTGTTTTGGATTGGGAAAAATATATTCTTTATAAATAAAAAGCTTTCAAAGTTATGAACTTTTAAAGCTCAGAGACTATAACAAAAACCTAGTTAAAGGACATGCGCCGTGACTCAGGTGCAAGCTCCATAAACCCAAACGCTAAAGGCTGGGATGGAAGACCTCAGCAAAGGTGGCTCTGGAAGGCAGTCACCCATTGTGTCGTCCCTCTCAGCAGGGTGTGTACCTGCAGAGGACTCACACAGCTCTGTTCAACACCACGGTATGCATTTTTCCATTCATCTTCTGCAGATGGACAAACTCAGAGAGTCAGGTCCGGGATGGTGGTGTAGGGCAGAGGGAGGGGTGGGGATTGTACGTAGTTATGAAAGTTCATGAACCTGGTCCTTTTTCATTTAATTCTAATTTTCTTGAGGATCATTCACTCAGTTTAAAAGCCATTTTAGCTTCAATAAAAGGAGTCTGTGCTTTAGTGCAGGAATAGAAGGTACAAACGTATTCTCAGTGGATGATAAATGCAAACATATTCCAGTACATGAGCTGCTTTCAAGTAACCCCTGAAGTGCTTCCAACTACTGAACTGAGGCATTTAGGCAAGCAGGGCCAGGAACACCTCTGTACAGTGGCGACCACCCCTCTCTGAGGGGCACGGAGCTGGTGGGCCTGTCCCTGCCCCACGGGAGAGCACCCGGGCAGGTGAGGAGCATGTCCCTGAACACCGGCAGCGCCTGCCAACTGGTGATGAACATACGGCGGAGAGGGTGACATATGGCTGGACTCTGTTTATTGAGACGGGTAGGAAAACAGGACTTGGATTCTGAAGTATCCGGGAAGGGGAGAGGGATGCCAAGGGGCATCAGGCCCTGTTGCAGTTTAAAAGCACGTGAGGGAGGAAACTGAGGCCTGTTCTCCCCACCGCATCCATCAGCCTCCTGCAGCTGCTGGCTGAACGTGAACAGAATGGAACACAGAGCCCTTCTTGGAATATTTCCTCTTTAATTTCTCTCTCTTCCATTAAAACGAGGCTCACCTCAAGACTGACTCTATTCAAAGTGAAATTTCATTGTCAATATACTCAAATACTCGTATTTCATAATGAGCCGTTACAGATGTGCACAGTACCATTTAAAAACAATTTTAAAAAAATAAGAAAAGTTATATAAGCAAGTTTTCCCTACAGTTAATTTTTCAGGCTTTGAGGTCAAAACCTTAAGCATGAAACCTTTATTCTCTAAACTACTTTGGACATTCTGCAGAGATTCAGAAGTCGGGGAAATCACTTTAAAAAATTCCAACAGCTTCTGTTGAAGACAGCATTCTTGCTAATCTGGCAAGCAGTGAGCTATATCTTGCCAGATCTTCCTGCCTTTGGGTATCTTTTGTGACAAAGTGAGAAGCTTCTTATTTCAATTAAAAAGAAAATACTTTTAGGACAAGATTGCCTATTATCCAAAATTCAGGTTAGCCACAGGACTTTCATACAGCTGAGTAGTTAAAATATATGAAATACTTAGCTATATAGCATGAAAGGTAGGAAATCAGAAAAGATCTGTGGGTAGTACAGCGTGAAATCTCTTTGTTGTTTTGAGTGTATTTAAATATCTAGAAATTTAAAAATAACTTTCATTGCACTTTTAAATATATTTAGTGAAATTACTAAAATTGCCAGTGGGGCTTCCCCTTTCTGCAGGGGACGCTGCAGCCTAAAAATGTTATGAAGAGCTTTGAAAAGAGCTACATGATAGAAATCTCTCTGTACATAATTTATTTTTAAAGTAGCTCAATTCTCTTGTTCAAAAGACCATTGTTTTAAAGATACACTTCGACCTCGTCCTTCAGCCACAGGCACATTTTGCTTCCATGGAAGTCAGAATAAAGTTTCTAAAAATTATGGGGTTTCTCTCCTTCGGAGTCTTCCAAACCCACTAATGAACCCCAGTGCTCAGAAACCGCGTATCCCTGGGGGGCTGCAGCACGAAGCCACCAGCTGGCCCCAGGACACAGCTATAAATAAGTCCTTGCACCGTGTCCCAGATACCTCCGGGCTCAGCGGGGACGGCTCTGAACACTCACCTGCACGAAATCCCTCCCTCGGTGCTAAAGGCACTTTTGCTGCTGAGTGGGAAACGTTTTGCACATTGAAATGCTTTGTGCTCCAGCCCTGACTGTCACCCGTCGCAGGGCATCTACCCAGCTGTTAAGACTTTGGATTCTCTTTATTAAACGAAACAAATTTAACTGATAATTATTCTAACGATGTGTTTGTAAAGTTTGCCTCATTTATGCTAAAAGTACAGTGCATGATAATTTAAAAATATTATAATATGTAAAAAACATTATTACAATATATAATTATTATAATTTATAATTATTGCTCTGGAAAAATTCGTTTTATTAATCACAATATTACTCTTATAATTAATGGCAAGGTTATATCATGCAAACCTGCTGGAGAATTTGAGTATGCAAATTAATTGTGCGTCTGCACAAAATAATTTAGAAAAGGACTTTTTAATATTTAAAAATCTGCTAAATGTTATGATAAGCTTTATAGCACAGTGCATTTCAGAACAAAGCTTGTACTAACTCAGATAGGAATAAGTTACTGAACTGTAAAAGGGTAGACATTATAATCAAATATTCCAGTAAATTAAAGTATAACATCCTACAATCCTCTTTGTGTAATAGGACACACTAATATAGCACAATTTTAATAAAACATATTTATTTTCTGTTTGCTTTTAATCTTCAAAGTGTTTTTGAGATATCGCTTCTGTGTAAATATTGAAAATGATCATTTGGTAACCCAAATACTAAAAGAAGGCATTACGCTGATTTATTTAATCACCAAGGCCACAAAGACAAATAATGAAATGCTGTCAGCAGTATTAAAGCCTGTTAACAACCTGCCACATACCAGACTCTGTAATCATTAAGAGATTCTCGATATAATTAAATGGTCTCATGCACAAATGTGTGTTCTCATTGATGCTTTAGAAGAAAAAGCCTGAAGAACCTGTGTTTCGAAAAAATAATCAAGAACACTTTCAAGAGTCAAACCACTCTCTAAAGATGCAGAAGACCTGCTCATGAGAGTCACTACTGAGCCTGTGAAGCAACAATAACTTTCATCAACATCTCATATCCCAACTGAGCACTAAGATAAAACTAGATTTAATTGTTTTATTCTACTTGTGTTGTAGGAACCAACCAAAGCAAACCAGCAATGTACGAGCTATGTTTAGAGAACGAGTAAGTAAATAGAGAAGGAACTAGGACTGGAGCAGGAGCAGCTGATAAAAGGTGAAGAAAATTTGAGATGAGAACCGAAGTGCAAAAAAGTGAATAGGAAGAAAAAGACAGCTGGAGAAAACAGATACAAATGAAATAATGGAGCACCTGGTGAGTTACCAGAACCGAATATGGAAAAAGAAGGAAAGGTGAAAAGAAAGGCTTCAGTTACAATTCCATTTTTACTATCATTCAGCTGATTTTAGCAATGATATTTCGAGTTCTGAGAAGATTGTGTTGTAAGCAGTTGCCAAAGCAGCAGCACTTGAAGCTTTTTGGGAAAGGTGCTGTTGAGGAGCCAGCTTACGGGAGGGTCTCCTCTTCCTAAGTGGGGAGAGGCAGGGGCACAGTGAGGACGAGAGGAGACGGAGGTTAAGGACAGCCTTTGTGCCATCAGCTTCAGTGTTGCTGCCCCAAGGCATCAGATCTCACCCCCGCTCAACCCTCGGTGCGACCAGACAAGGACCAACCCCGGGTATGACCGGGGCTGCCTCGGAGCTGGTTTGCCCTCTGGAAGGGACTGTCTCTGTCAGCTGAGCAGGAGAAACTCAACAGGGCAACTACGCTCCCAACTCAGGCACTTATCTTATGTACCCAAATTTAGATTATGTGAAAAGTTAAAAAAATAAACTGTTTTTAAAATTCTTCTCAGTTCTTTGGCATTTCCCTGTATTTAAATTAAAAAATAAGAAAACTTTTTAACATCTCAAATTTTCCAAAACCCCTTGTGGCTTCTGCCCATATATTGTTCATTGATGTCATGGCTAGCATATTAAAACAATTGATGAGAAGCTCATTAAAACCTAGCAAGAAAGTCTTCTGGTGCATTTCATCAGAGGAGATAATAGCCTACAATCTAGAGCATGAATATGTTATAAGAAACAAAACAGAGCCATTCAGACAAAGAACACTTGGAATGTATTGTTCCCATAAGCAGATGCTAAATTACTTCACTGTAAAGTGGGATTTATAAAACCCAAAGAAATGTTATTTTTATGTGAACAAACAAGATTAGTTTATTATTTCAGCAGAGTGACACAAAATTCTCGTTCATGTGTCTCGCCATGGAAGCAGATGCGTTGAAAGTAAAAACCGGTTGTTGACCAAAAATGCTACGTGTACATTGCAGTATGGAAAGAGCACGACAGAACGGGTGTATCCCAATGGTTTCTAGCTCCAGCATCAATACAATTGTTTCAAAACCCTATCTCTGATAAGCCAGCTGCCTCCAGATAAAACTGTCATCTAATTGGAGCTACAGAGCCTTGTCTGCAGAGAGGACAAGGACCAGAGTCACCTCTGAAGACACACCTTCAGATAAGATGGATGCAAAGAAAGCTCAGAAAAAGCCTCAGCCTTCTCTGGGAATTGGTAGTATCAAAGACATCCAACATAAAGCAAATAAAAATAAAATGCTGACTTCGTGCTTAAGTAAACACCTCAGGGTTGTCATGTTCTGAGGGACACTGGTCTTGGTCACATGTTCATTGTTACTTTTCTTACCAAAAATAGATCTTACAGACCTTAAATATTCAATTCAGAACTGTTAAAAATGACTCAACACTAAAATTATCTACCCTAAAGAGCCCATTGATACTGTTTGTAATTCAGTCTCACAGTTAGGTGTAACAACAGAAAATTACGTGCAAAAGCAACACATTAAATGTCAATGTACTTACATCAGTGTCAGGTCCCTTGTCAGCCCCAGGGCAAGAGAAGGTGACAAACTCATGGCATCTCTTGTGAACCACAAAACAGCAAACTGGTAAGAAAAGGGAAACCAAGAGTTAGAATGGCATAGGTTGGTGGCTTTTTGTCTGTTGTAAAAAATATAACTACAGAGGAAATAAAACTTAGAGTGAAGTATTTCACCTGTGAGTCAACGAAGGGAAGCAGAGCCTAATGCTAAACAGACACGAGAAAGGCAGACATCAAGTAAACAACACAATAAAGGAGGAGATAAGCATGAACATTGAAAAATCAAGAGACTCTACACAATGATAAAATTTTAATGTTTCAGACACATTTCCTGAATCTAAACCCCTGTCTGTAACAACCTGTCCATGTGCCCCAGGCAAGAGCAGGAGGGTGAGTGAGGGACACTTGGCAGAGGACTTGTCCCCCTGTCTGTCCGCCCGGGTGAAGCTGTCCTCCACCACCATCCAAAGCTGTCCTCCACCACCATCCAAAGCTGTCCTCCACCACCATCCAGTCTCTTCACTAGTTAATGACTTTTGTGAGAAACCAAAGCCCGGAGTGAAGACTGCTGTAGAGAACAAACTGTTCTCATATCACAGGATGGCAGGAGATAATGGGAAAAGAAAATTAGCTCCCGATTACAATATGACTCCCATTAAAATTTATGAATGATCTGAAGGAACTTTTTCTCTCTGAGATAAGGAAGGATCATTTTAATTGAATTATGTCCTGTGACCGAGGCTATAGGTTGTCACACAGCATAGGTCATACACGTCCTCCCAAAATACATAAAAAGAACAATTTTTAAGTGTGCTTACTTCAAGAATCAGGTATTTTAGCTTTTCACTCTCACTACAGGTTCTTTCTTAATGTTAATCTCAGTTCAGATATTTCAAAACTGGTCCACATTTCAGCAAAACAGAACAATCTAGATCTGAGATTGTGAAAAACTTGAAATAAACACCGTACTATCAAGCAATGAGTTGGGAGATTATGATGAAATGATTCAAAGTAATTCACAATTTCTTTACAGATAATACATTCCCTGAATACTTTAAATTCTACATTTCCAATACATAAAAATGCACTATTTCAAAGGATACTTCTAAAGAATAAAATAGATTTCAATTGATTGGCAATTGCAAACACTGAACTTCCTCAATTTCAGTGGGACCCAAATTAAATTATCCCTATTTTTCTAAACAGCTCATTTCCTGGGGCATCTGTAAGGGTTCTCTTTCCCATGTGAAAGGTGTAGGAATTCCTTCCAGCTCATGAGGAGAGCTGAGCAGACGTTACGGAGCGCTCCCCGTCACCGCAGCACCCGGGACGATCGCCCCTAATGCCAGCCCGGCCTCATTTACATCCTTCAGTCAGCGTCTGGCTTTGCAGAAGTCTAATCACCCTCCCGTCCTTCTCCAGCTATTTTTCATCATCATCCCATGCAGCAATTGTTTCCAACTGTTCTATTTCTGACATGGCATATGTTTATTCTTTGGGCAAATGGAATAAAATGGGCTTTGCTCCACTGATTCCAGATAAGCTCTGCCGACTCTCCATGAGCCAGAGTTCTGGCTCCGTGCACGCTGCCCACTTGGTTGTCTGGTTTGTTAATCAATCTAAATCCCAGAGAATCCTACAATTATCATTTCGATGGTTTGTTTCTACCAACTGAAAGATCACTAAGTGGCAATTACTATTAATATTACTTGCAGCTGAAAAATGTTTCACTTCCAAATTGTATTTTTGGTTCCAAACCTTTCACTCTGGAAGACAATAGCCTGATTTATGTTTGTAGGAGGAAAGCACATGAAAAAAATATCGTTACATCGTTCAGAAAACAAAAAAGTTAACTAATTACTTTTGTATGCAGTGATCACACGGTTGCAAAATACAACATAATAATCTATGCAAAAGATGTGAGAAATATCTCTGGAAAGGCTGCAGAACCGAGCTGCCTCATCACTGCCTGCCTCTCACACGAGGCTCTTCGCCCGGCAACTCAGCTCTGCCTTTATCCAGCAAGAGTGGACGTTACAAAAACCGCATTTTTGGGCATCCATTTTGGGCAGCATTTACGAAATACCATAGACATTGCCTATCTCAGAGTTTTCAGCCTCTCCTCTCGTGGTAAGGAATGAAACCCAACCGGAGACAATGCCGACCTTGTTCCTGATGTGAGGGATGCTGAGGTGGGGCCGGCAGGAGGGGCCGTGCTCTGATACAGCCCCCTCCTGTGCTCCTGAGCTACCAACTCCCCTGGAAACGATGCTTAGCACACGGCAATGGAAACTCCAATCCAGCTGCCAAAATAAGCAAACCAGACAGCACTTGTCCTTTTGGACTTTAAGCTACACTTCCAAAAGTCACTTATTAAGGCTTCAAGGACCAATGTTGACAACTGAACTTCTTAAGCCCTTTCTGCTCCAACTGCACCAGACTGACTGTTGTGTGCACCTCAACGGCAACAGTCTCAATTCTTTTTCCTTTATTTCCCATTTGTATTTTTAATGGGTTAACTCTCTCCAAAGAGCTTGGTTCCTCGATAAGCAATTCAGAAGCATCAGACCTGCCCCACCTTTTGAGAATACTCAAATGAGAACCAAATAGTTTGGCATAAAAATAAACAATGGAATAGGGAACTGCCATGGAATCATAAATCTAAAGGTAAAAGGATAAGGGTGAATTAAAATCCCTTTATAGCAGCCATCATTTCCATACGCAAAAATTTTAAATCCAAATTTTCATTTTTAAATGCAGCCATTAGAGTATATTTTAGCATTAGTTTTTAAAGTCTTCTTAATTTCACAAAGCAATACTCAGCTACAGAATTCATGTAAAAATTTACTCAGTTCAGATAAGTGCAAACAAAATGTTATCTGCTTAAAATAACATGTCATTTTTTAGGACTAGAGATGAAAAATAACCTCTCACTTGTTACCTGTTTTGAAAAGACGTTAATAACTGCACATCACTTACTGCAGCTGTTAAGAAGTCACATTATGTTCACCACCTTCTTGTAAGGAAAGCTGTATCACAGCACGCTGCACAGCCTGCCAGGGAATTCGTTGTTTTATTTTAACAGGAGTGTAAGCAGGAGTGAGCGGGCACGCATTATGCACAGCAGCTCGAGAGCAAGTGGCAGCCCGAGGCTGACAGTTCAAATTAAAAAGAAAATTATTGAGGAATGTTCATGTTTTGGTGTGTGGTATATATATAAGATGGCTGTGAGCTTCCATCCTCCCAGCTCTGGACTCGCTGGAGATAAACACCCTCTCACACCCGGGCAGGGCACAGGGAGGAAGGGAGAGAACAAAAGGGGACTTGTGCTGCAAAACCAGACTGACTGCTAGTTCTGCTCTGGCACGGTGTGTCTCGGGCTGATCCCGTGCCCTCCACCCTCCCAGCAAAGCCAGGGAGAGCAGAAAATGCTAAATGGGTACCAGGAGAATGAGGAAGAATGTGGTGAGCAGCACTCACTGCATCCTCAAAGCAAACAAGCAGAAGACGCACTACATGATTTGTGGGATTTATGATATATAATGGAGGGCAATTCATTCTATCTAAGACTTCTCTGTCAGTGCACAGTATTGAGAAAAACACGTTGTTATTAATATCATATATATATTGTCATCAGTCAGAGTTACCAGGCACTGCTGTAAATTTCAACTGTTTTCTAAATCATGCGATGCACAAAAGTTATCATGATATATAGTCGGGTGAGAGTTATCTGCTAAAAAATACTGCACTAGTAGCTTTCATATGTGACACAGACTAGTAAGACAGAAATGAAATATTACAATAATAAATAAGAGAAGCAATCTTCTCTATCAGATGATCCACAAAGAAGAAAAGCCATGGCTAAGCTCCTGTCACCCGCACACCATTGAGCCATAGTCTGAAGAGCTCTACAACCACATGCATTCCAAAGAACTAGGGGCAAAAACGTCCAGGCAAAAGTCATAAAGTTTAAAATTTGGAATTATTAGAAAAATCCAACAGAAAATTAAAAAAAAAAATACACACACTCTTATACTCCCACGTTTGGAAGGAAAACAACAGGTCAGATGAGCCTTTCCAATAACATGAATATCTCTACTACACCACAGTATTTATTTGTTCAGTAAAACAAATTAAGCTGCAAAGCTGAAGAGCGGAGAGGATGCATTTCTAGGAGAGTCTAACTGAACTGCCAGTTAATGTCTGTAGAGAAATCAGGGAGGTTTCTTCAAGTCATCTTTGACTCATTTTTGTAATGGTCAAGACTATTCTCCCAACTCAAATGGTAAATTTGCATTTCTAGGAGAGTCTAACTGAACTGCCAGTTAATGTCTGTAGAGAAATCAGGGAGGTTTCTTCAAGTCATCTTTGACTCATTTTTGTAATGGTCAAGACTACTCTCCCAACTCAAATGGTAAATTTATAAAAACTTAATCACCATAAAAATAATGTATTCTCTTCCCATCTAAACAGAACTTTAGAGCTGTGGCTCCGCTGTTATGACATAATTAGTGGCCCAGCAACAACTGGAATACATATTCTTGCCTACGTAATTTGTCTGTAGGCTCCAAGTATGGACTCTGGGGAGAGCCCGGGCTGGCAGCCCCACACAGAGCACTTGGGTTTGGAACAGGAACCGATCCCGGGTTGGATCAGGAGTTGCAAGAGCGGTATAACAAGCATGAAATCCCTCTCTGCATGAGTCTCCGAGTGCTCCAGAGAACTCTGAGGGCATCCACAGGAGCCCGGAGTGCTGCAGAACTGCTGTGGTGCTGCTTCACATGCTCTGCCTGCTCAGGGAGGCCACAGAACCTCCCCAGGGGCCCGTGCCATGGGCTGAGCGGTGGCTGCGGCACGACACCGAGCGATGAATGAATCTGTCACACATTAGTTCATTCTAAGATTAAATACAGCAATTACATTAAATGGAAATAGGGCACTACTTCAAAATTGACAAATCATTTAAACACCAACTGCATTTGTTATTTAAATAAGCAGTACTGTTTAAGTAAATTTACTAGGAATAGATTAAACTCAGGAACAGGGAATATTTCCAGAGCAAGA